TAGATCTTTCTCGCAGAAATATTGCGATAAAAATGTCGAGAGATATAATAATATTTGTGGAATTGTAAGATTAAAATATTGCTCTTTTTACACGTTTATGATAATTTCATTATTTATACCATGTTCAATATTCCTCTATATTGATTGACGTGCTTCTTAAACACATCCTGCAGTTCTTTGTCGGTATAAAGACCTCTTTGCATTATTTCTTTGGTAATGTCGTAAACGAATTTAACATATTTCTTGTCCTCCTCTTTTCGAGCCGAGAATTGTCTGCAAATAAGCTCTTCAGTAGATTTGCCATCGCAATCGAAATCGCAGCATTGCGAAGGGTTCGAAAACACCGAGCAATAATCGGTCGTTTTCTGCCTTAGAGATTGACATTTAAATATCGTTGACTCTTCTCTAGTAGCTGCGTAAGGGACTGAGCACTCTTTCTCGTATCTACATTTTCTATTGAAATAATGAAAAGAAATGGATTTTTTAGAATACGCGAATCGCGTGTAATTTTAAGCACAGAGAATAATTGCAGAAAATCTCCCTTTAATACATACTAGTATCTAATTGTTTGGAATTGAGACGTAAAGTAATTAATAGCTTGAAACTTCAATGTTTGATGCGAGCTCACCTCTGTCGCGCAAAACACGTTGACGGACCAACTATATGAGGAATATCTCGCGCAGATTTTGACACTTTTTTGTAAATACAATTTGACAACTTTTTACGTTTTGGTGAACGTGCTGTCATTGGTGACATCATTCTTTGATTCTTTGATGTCGATCGTTGCCGTCGATCCATCTGATCGGTTCCTTCGTAAGACGTTTGACTACTACAAACCCTTAGTTGATGATCTAAATTATAATTACAACAGTCCGGATGTTTTGCGTTTAAATCTATTCTTAATATGTCCTGTAGAAAATTTTAAAAACATACATTTCAAAATCAACATTTATTAGTTTCGAGAAGAAAGGAAAGATTCAAATTTTTAATCTATAAAGTCACGAGTTAGTTTAGCAATTGTGGAAATTATCTTTTTTGTTAAATTTATTCCAATTTATAATCTCGAATAAAGTAGCTGAGTTTTACCATGGGATGATGTTGAGTATCATAGGCCAATTTGTCAATTACATCATTCGTAGCTTCGAGACGTAAACGAATCCCGCTATCGTCAGCTCTTGGCACTTTGTACCGCTGATTTCCTTTCAAGTAATTTTTATTTCTCGTATCAACTACGCTTCTTGCCAACAAAATCCGTCGTAGATGCGAGTTCATCGAGTTATACGCCGCCAACTGCTCATAATAATTCTGCCCCGTTTGATTATAAGCTACGGTTTTAACACAACTTTTAATATTACAATTTGCGAATCGAACATTTTTGCTGGCGTATTAAAAACTCACCGCTGCTTTTCAGATTAACCCCCCTTCTCACGCATCTTGTCATTTCTGACGGAAAATTCAAATATCCGAGTCTCGGTAACCACAGTAGCGAAGAATAATGATTAGGCGAAAGTTCCGTTAAAAAATTTTGGGCAATGTAGAATGATTTGGTGACATTAAAAATTTGCCATCCTCCCTTTAGACGGGAGTTATGCCATGTCTGCCGCTTACTCCAAAGCCAAAGTCTCACCGTCTCGCGAAGCGTTTGTTGACGGTCAGTCACTAAGCAACGGGCACGTGCTAAGCTCCCACTACTTTTCTACTCTCGTTAAAGAATGTGGACTGTACATACGTAGCTGTACGGTTAATAGAATTCCATAAGATTTAATATAATAAGATTGTATTTAAACGTAAAATGAGGAACAGATGATTACATTTGGCATGGAATGTGCAGTGAATGATGCAATGAACGAGATATAACAAGAGGTATACAAGTTTATATATTAATTTATATATTAAATATCGATAAACGCTAAAATCCTTATCAAAATATTAACTGCACTTTGTTTGGTAAATATTAGGAAACTTAAATACGTATAAATGTCGACGATCCGTATAAAAATATAATTTCTTCTTGCGTCCTGTTAGACCACCATTAGAACGTTAAAAATCTGTATGTTTACAAGTAGGCGAAGTATTGTTGCTGTTCGGGGAAATCTCTGTTTTCAATCACGGTCGAACGCGCAGAGGATCATCTTCAATCCGATCTCGTAGGAGCTCTCGTGTGTACGTGCGCAGTACTGGTCTTGTAAAGGTACACTTGTGCTAAAATAGCGATGTCGATGGTGACTTGAACAGCGCCGCACACCTGAAACTGCACGGGCGTATCCCTCAGAACGAAGTAGCACGTTTTGAAGATATCTCCCACAGTCCACATCGCCACCATGGCTATGCTGAAATCGCAGTAAATCGTCAATTTAACTCTCGCGCGCGCACAGTTCACGTTCTCGCTTCTCTTCTTTCTCCCGTCTAAATCTCACCTCATCCCTACGGTCGACTTGTTCGACGAATTACGGAGAAACTGCGGGACGCCCAGCATAGCCTCTATCAATACAGCTAAGAATCCAACAATTTCAATAAATATCGGTACATCCAGAAATAAATACGTAATTACACCGCCCACGCCAGCGAACAGGGTCATGAAGCCCAGGTAGGACTTGAAGTCTGTCCACTTCCAAAAGAATCTAGCGTCCAAATCTGCGAAGTAACAAAATTCTGCCATCTATAAATGCAGGTGTACATCGGTATTTGTACAACTGTCCGCAATAATTATATTTACCTGTAAGTACTCGTTCTTTCGATTTGATTATTTGCGTTCTGTTTTGTACGTTAATGCAGAGCTTAATCATAACGAACATTGCTAGAATCATCAGTATACTTTGTAACAAAAGTGGAAGCTCGTAGTGTTTGCCGAACCTGCAACGAAAACCAAGCGCAACGTCAGTACTTGAAGACGCGTCTCGTTCATCTTCCAATTTATTCTCGTCACACAACAAGTATGTGTTAAAATGTACAAAATATTAGAGCATTATTAGAAGCGTTTTCTTATGCACGAGACTATTGAGTAAACTTAATGCAAGATGTACGGACACGCTTGACGGTTCTCGTCGGTACAAACCAAAATAATATACGGAGCGTGTTGGCGACCAGGAGGGTGAGGCACACGTAGAGGGAGAATCCCTCCGCGTCCTCCTTCCTCTTGATCTCCTTGTACTGCGGCACGTAGGGCACAACCGCGCCGAAGATCATCGCGCCGGACGCGATCCAGCCGGCTAGGTTCTTGAGGTTCAGCTCGTACGCGGTGTCGTCCATCGTCGCGAGCCTCCGCTTCTAGCATAGCGCGCGCGCGCGCGCCCCGCCGCCGATCCTGTCGCACCGAAGAACGCCAGGCGATAATTGTACCGCGTGCGAGACAATTAACGTGCAATCATCGTACATACGTGCGAATTTACGTTTTTAGGTTATAAGCCGGCCGTTACTCATCGTCACCGCCGTGTCGCCGATACGTGCCACACGAGCACTGACGACGGGCGCGTGTCCATACTCGTATCCCGACACTCGACCGCCGGCCGACGTCGGTAGGCCGAATTTTGTTAGCGGCACACGTCGGGGGGAGACAAATCAAAGTGTCGCTCGCACCATCCTGAAATCCCGTCCGTCGACACGACGTTCACGCTCCGGGGACAAATGCGTTTTTTTTCGCACACTCGACCACGTCGGGGGGTTTCGCGAGCGAGCCGATAGCGGTCGCCACAGTAACGCGGAGAATATACCCGCCAAAATCGCAATTATTTTCGCATTGTATACACA